TCCCCCCCCCCACAACATGCCATTGAACAGGCAACGCATGACTCTGCTGCTCTGTTAAATTCGAGTCAGCGATTCCATTGCTATTCATCTTATGTACTGTATGATCATATCGAACCGTTTCTGTTGACAGAATGCCCTTGGTTTGTGATGCCCGGCGTGTCCGCAACTTTTGAACACTTTTGCTATATGGAACCGCAGAAAAGAACATTCCTCTTGGAAAACATTATTTTTGATAGATGTCTGCTTGTTACGGATCCCATTGAAGGAGTTTATAGTTTCCCTTTCAGGTCAAGCCTCGGTTTTCAATCTACACCGCTACTGTCACTTAAGCTTGGAAGAGAATACAGTCATAGCATAATGTGGGCTTACCGCTTAACCCTCATTACTCGTCGAAGCCAACGTTGTTTACTCAGATTAATTGTAGTTCCTGGTTGTTCCAAAACAGCTGTTTTAGTGCAGCATCGAAGCAAAGTATAGGTGGAACTTTTTTGGAAAAGAACCACTGATAATGCCTCTCAGTTTAAAGGCATTACTTTAAACATAAAATTTTATTTTATGTCAATACTACGGTAGTGAATAACCATGACCATCATTAGACCGGGTTATACCACGAGATGCTTCCCTCCTTGCATTCAGAAGTCTGTCATCACGGCTTTATAGCAGTGCATGAATACAAGACAGTATTAAATAGGGTAAAAGCTTGTTAGGATTGCATCGCTAATTTAACTGATCTACTTTCTGCAGTCAATCTTCTGATCCAATTTTTTCATAACTGCTCTTAAGACAATAACAGCTTATCATTTCAATTTTTTGTCAGTTTAGTTAGAGCATTAGGGCACGTATCTGGTATGTTTGGGTAACATATTTATGTTATTTTTCGGGAATATAATAAATATATACATATTTGCCGTACTTTCGCGTTCATAGCTTGAATATGTTCTTGTACGCCAAAAAAAACACTTCTTTAAGTTCAGTGACGAAATGTGAAAGCACATTAGTCAGTGATGACCGACTGACGTTTGGACTCAACGCTAGTCAATCAAGCTGTAATTCGTCAAACTGGACAGATAAAATTTACTACAAGTTGATTTTTAAAATCGGTGGCTGCACAAAGCTACTTTCGTTAAATCCTTGCCGTGAACCATGGATCAGGAAGCGAAGACCGTCATTCGTTATTTAAACAGGAAACGAACTGACACCTCAATTCGTACCTATTTAGATATGACTTATCGGTATTTGTCACAATGTCAATAATGTTTTTCTGAAGTAAATATGAGTATTTTCAAATCATCTTATCACTGTACAGTATACTAAACAAACCAATTTGTTGGCGTCTACTGTTCTAGTGGGTGATTCGTTTATATAGCAAGTGAGATTCGCAAATTTTAAAACCATTTGCTTCCATTCTGAAACTTTCCATCTAAAACCTTGTCAGGAGACAATCTTTGGAGAGACGTCTTAACGCGGTTCTACTGTAGACTCGATTCACTTCCGCGCGTCTTTTGAAGTTGCAAGGACCAATAAACGAGTGAATGAAGGAACGAATAAATAAATAACTGGAAAGAATTAATGAATAGATAGGTATAAAAATGAAAAAAAGTAGAACGCATAAATGTGAAACGAACACATTAATTATTTGAATGAGAAAGGCGTCGTCCAGAGAAAAAATTACAAACTTCGAAAATGCCAAATAAATGAATATATGTTAAAAATATATTATTGACTTGTACAGAATCGACGGCGACTCTGAATGGCCGACCGAAAGGTCGACTGTTCACTGAAAATCATTCGCGTCGTTTCTTCGTTCACAGAATTAAGAACTGCTGAAATGGCGAATAGCCTCAGCAAAGTAACTGTTGCCCTTTGGTCGACAGTCGCCAGCGTTTCAGCAAACACCGTCGTCCCTGTGCATCATGCCACAGCCTTTGTGGTATGCCGGGTCCTACACCACAATTGACCTTCGTAGTCTGCAGAGGACGAGTGACGGCGGCGGCGACGGGTTCGCTTTTGGGGCAGTTTCCTTCGTTGTCGCACCTACAACGCCACGGCTTTTTGGATCGGCTACTTCCACGTTCGGCAGTCGCCCCTTTGAAGTGCCGAACGGTTGCTGGTTCAACGGCAGCACGTGGTAGTATAAGGGACGGCCGGTGTACTCTTCCTTAAAGCTGTCCATCTTGGTCCGGCTGGTACGAGTCTTTTTGCGCCAGATCTCGCTGTATCGACAGGCCAGCCGCCTTCGGCGAAGCTTGCTCGCTCGCACTCGGCTGATGAAAATCTCCAACGATATGAACACGCAACCGAGCACGATTCCACCTGCCACCAAGATGAACACGTCTGAAACATGCACGTCAATTATGAAGCGACCTGAAGTCAGTGCGTGCAAATATATAGGAACTCAACACATTAACAGTAGTCAAAAATTCGATCCGACAAACAGGCGCAGACAACCACATTCATCTTCTTTAAAAAGTGCACCACCACTGTTCCTCTTTTGGTTTCACTCATTCATCGATTCATTCGCTCAATAATTCACTTATGAGGTCTTTTGTTGAATCATTTGAAAGGACTTTAAAATCAACCACACCTTTGGCATGAAGTTGTCAGAAAAAATTATAGCATGTCATGCAATAAGACGACTTCGTAAGAATAATAGTATTAGAAGGTTGCATTTATGGTTAAGGACGAAAAAGAACAAAACGATGACTGGGGAGTTCGGTGATTTTAGCGTCATTTGAGACATATTTGGAAATACTCTCATACCACAAATAGTATAGCAGATTATACGGTACGCTACTGTATCAAACACAAATTCAAGTTACTTCTGTAACTCATTCTTCAGTGAGCCAAACGTAGATATAAGATAACGAGCCTGAAAATCACAAGTTTCATTGCACGAAGCTGTTGGTGTTAAACCTTTAAACGGTGTTCGTTTATCAGTGCGAGAGCCAAAATAAAAATCAATGTTTTTCACGCTGACAAATGAATGGATTCAAATGCTTTTTGTGAACTAAACTTATGATTTTTCGAATTGTCAGTTTTGTGCTTGATCTAAATTACTAATATAATTGAAATTGATTTTTTGAAGGCTACATTGAGGGTGACAGAGGGTCAGATTGATTATCAAATACTTGAGTATATCGAATATCTGGCATTGTAACGCGTTGAGGTATAACCAGGGAGTTTATCAAACGTATCAAGGAACGGAGAGGCTGGAAAAATTTATTAAGAGGGTTTAACTCATGATCCAAGAGAAGAAGCTGGATGTGAAGTGGAATAAATAGGTGGATCATAAATACAAGTACGACAAAGGCAGTGAAGCAGAAGTACAAGCCTATGCATAGATATAAGTATATCAGTTCAAATGTAGAAAGTACAAGAAGTTACAAAGATCCTCGAGACGAAATGAGGATCTACAAGTTTAGCACAAGCCTGCTCCATTGGTTCGAAAGGGCGATTGCCTGTTTCTCGTCAGAGATGTGTACGCGACCAAAATTTTACCATGTGCTCTACTTCTCTGAATCGGGCTTAATGAAGTCTTGAAGATATTGGCAATAGTTCACGATGGTTAAAATCGTGAAACGGACTTCTGAAGAACCTGGCGCCCCATAAAATGAATGAGAAAGAAAGAAGAACGTAGACTCGCGTTCGCCCCGCACCCACAGTTGAAGACAAGTTGAACGAAAGATTTACAAGAGTAAGAGCTGTAAGTATATGACACGTAAATGCAAAAAACAAATATCTCATAAGCTCTCTGATAATAAGGAAAAAGCTAAATAAGGAATAAGCGGGCAGCCGACTACTCACGAGAAGAATAATTCCTAAGGACATGATATTTATGGTCAGATATTATAAATTTGGCTTACTTTGCTGCTTTAGCTCTGTGAACCTCAGATGACAACAACAACATAACAACAGTTGTGAACAACAAATGATTCCTCCAAAACCAGAACATTTATACAGCAACAGTGGTGACTGTAACCAACAACTGCTGTATAAGAATGTGAAATAAATATGAAGATTTTTGCCGTGTACCTTTCTTTTGTT